TTCCCAGCTCTCACCACCACGTGTTGAGATCCAGGCCCCGTTCGCCGCTGTGCGTTCCGAGCATCTGGGAGGGGATGTTCAGTTTAGTCAGTTGCCTGGCGCGGAACCCTTCTCGGGGCCTGCAACCCCACGCTCACCCTGGGAAGCCGGGAGCTCCGTTCTCTCTGCAGAAGCTCATGCCGTGAGGAGCGTCTTCTTTTAAAAGTGGAGCTGTCTGGGCTGGGGGAGACACCGCCACAAGGCGGCTGTGTCGGCAGCGGTGTCTGCAGAGCAGGCAGGGTGAACCAGAGGGCCGCACACCGGGCCTGCGGGACCCGGCGCTGATGACCGACGGCCGCGGAGGCGGCGTGATGGGGGCCGGTGCCCGGAGTGCTGCCTGTGGTGGGGTGTGACCCTGGTGTTGTGAAGTAGCCGTTCTCTGATGGGCAACGGCCTGATTCACAACACCAGCTGCCCCACCGCACCGTGCGGGGAGGTCTCGGCGTTGCTGAGGGTCGTGGGGTCACCTCCTCCGTGCTGGCCCTGCTGTGTGCGTAGGGGACAGAGCAGCGGTGGGTTAGAGGCTTTTCTTGGTGGTGTCCTTTGCCAACCCTCCTGTCTCCTGGGGTCAGAGGCTCCTGGAAGCCCTGGGCTCATCTGAGTACTGGTGCTTCTCTGGGAAGGGGGACGGTCTATGCCTTCAACAGCCTCAAAGGGAGACATCACGCCACAGCTTACCTATCTCTGCCAGGGGAGGTGTGACAGTAACCAATTATTTTTAAGGTAATGTGCGGAGTAAAGTTTTTTCCTCCAGTTAGTATCTTGATCCTTGTACGGGAGGAACGCAGGGCTTCTCATTCCTCTGTTGCCAAACCTAAACACCAGAGAGCGTTCTTACCTCGGGTTCTGAGTCATAACACTGCCATGACCGCCCCCCTCTCGATTTGTCTGCCTGTCCAGGGTCCCCAGATTTCAAAGGCCACGTGGAGTAGCTCCCACATCTACTAAAACAACCAAGGTGAGAATGGATCTTCTAAGGATGGAGTATGTCTCCCTAACTTAGTCCTCCAAAGGGTAAAAAGCACTTTCCAAACACAAAGGCTAACACTGAGGGTTCGGGGCAGTCACGCAGACCAACTAAAGCCGAGAAATCAGGTGGTCCTCGTGAAAACAGTGCCCATCACTGCCTGGCCCCGCAGTCCGCAGCTGAACCTCCAGGGCTCCCCCGTCCCAGATTCAGCCAGGAGGTATTAAACATCTCGACCAGAGAAATTCAGCAGTCAAATAACTTTGGAACTTTTCTTTTTCGTAGCTCCCTGGATTTTATCACCTTCATGAAATTATGTCACATAAAGTGACCTGAAAATAACATTTGAAGTTTAATCCCTATTTCCAGGTGAAACACCTTTAAATGAACAGCTCTGGGGCCCTAAATGGCTCCTGCCTGCTGCATGGTTCTTAGTCACCCAACCAAGAAAAACTGCATTTTTCACTTTCTGCTTCCTAGCCTGGAACCTGTTTTGTCCTGAGGCTGCAAAGTGGGCCAGTTCCTAGGACGGGATGTGACACGGGTCCTGCCCAGGTTCTTGCCGGAGTCGGGGGAGGGAGGGAGAACCTGGAGCAGTTCATCAGTCCTGGCCAGGCCACGGAAATCACTGTGGCTTTGGGGTTCAGAAGTGTCTGGATTCGCATGTCTACAATCAAAGAATCCCTGCCAGGACATCGGGCCACAGTGGTGGCCCTCGGGCCTCTGTGGGCCACAGCTCGGCCACACTGAGGGTTTCTGCTACATACTTCTCTACCCAGGCAGGACGTGGACCAGCTTCACAGCTCACTTGGGATGGCAGGAGGTGGACATCCAGGCCCCCTGCTGTTCTAGGCACTTTCTAGGCTCTAACTCTTTGAATCTTTGTCACACCCTGTGACGGTCATCATTTATCAGAGCCGGGGTGGAGAGGGCAGCTGGCTTCAGTTCAGCCTCCAACTTCCCTGGGTGGATGTGAAAACAGTGCCCATCACTGCCTTTCCCTTATTCGGATTCCTCATCTGCTGAGGAAGGGCCCAGAGCAGACTTCTCTGGGGCCCCCAGCACTGGAGGCTGGAGGTCTGCTCCCTTGAACATAGTACAGACTAGCGGGTGGCTCGGTGGCACCACGGATGAGCCCTGGGACTTTGAAAACAGGTGTGACTCAGTGGGCACACTGACCCTATGCCTTCCTGCCTGTGTTCCCAGGACAAGTTACTGGACCTCCTGGGCCTCGGTTTCAGTATCTGCAAAACAGGGTAATAAGACGATTGGAAAACTTTGCCTACGTTACGTGCTTGATTATCGGTGTGTATCCGATGAGTGCTGGTGCTGAGTTACGTGGCTGGCTTTCCGAGCATCAGGTAGAGAGACCTCGAGATTTTTCTTTCCTGTGAGGCTGACATTTCTGGGGACTATCTTGAAGGCTGACACTCGCTCTGAGAATGAGCAAGTTCTGGAAACTGGGATTAGGTCCTTAATTCAGGTAAAATAAAGCAGGGGGACAGTGAACTGCTACTGCTGAGTGGCCGGCGCCTTCAGCAAAGCACTTACTTTTCACGTGGGAAGCTTGTATCGGTACCAGGTAAAACCTGCTTTGACTCTGAGGAAGTCAAAACACCAGAAACCCAGGGACTGGCATCCCTCCCTGCCTGTAAGGGATAAAAGGTGACGCAGGAATGGGTGACAAGCTGGGGCCACACATAGACCGATCCACAGCCAACTCTTCTTGCCTGGAACCCACCAGGGCCCATGGGATCAAAGAGAGATCAAGAGGTGATCCTCTCAAAAGGGCAAGTACTCTTCAGGTTTTAATTTCATGTTTGCAGGGAGCTGGCATTGTGCAAGGGCGTGGCCTGGCCGCTTTCTTTCCTCTCATCCCTCACTGATTAACCTCTTGCTGTCTCTGCTTTTCTAAATTCTCAAATATGCCCTGTCCCCCCCGCCCCCACCACCACCACAGGGCCTTTGCACAAGCTGCTTCCGCTGCCTGGAATGCCTCACTCCCCGTTTTGCATAGTTTAATACCAACTTCTCCTTCAGATTTCAATTCCAGAATGACTTTCTGGACACGCAAGAGTCTGACCCGACTCCTCTGTAATGTACTGTCCAGGCGTCCAGTCCTCTTCCTTTAAGGCATCCACCATACAGTGTGGGTGAAACTTCCTCCACTCAACTCTAACCTCCCCAGCAGGTTCCCCGCACTGGCCACATGGGGGATGCTTGATGCATACCAGTTGGGTGAATGAATGATATAAACTAAGACTCTGGTGGTCTAACTACTCTTCTAAGCATTTAGAAAAGGGGGAAAAAATCAAAATAGCACCAAGTATCAAGGACACACAAAGGGCTGTTCTGTAATGAGTAATTTTACATCATTATCTGACACCCAGACCTCCTAACCATTTCCCTGACTCTAGGCTAATGGTGCCCTGATGCACAGGGAAAGCAGAGGGATTCCTCCAGAGGGGCAGACTGATCTGGTTCATCTCTCCAAGGCTCCCCATCATGCCCACAATAGAGCCCCCGATCCTATGGCTCCTCACTTCCAGGCCTGCCCCTCCTCCCATATGGAGCAGGAGTCCCGCCAGGACACCACGTGTGCCTGCTTCTGTGGATGTGAAGGCCCTGCCTGCTACCCCCCAGCGCACTCCTGCTCCTGCCGGCGGGTTCCAGAGTCAGCCGCCAAGAAGGTCCTCCTGGTCCCCTGCTTGGCCTGAGCTCTTGGCCCATGTCTATGACCCTTGTACCTTTCATGTTTCTTCCATCACTCTTCAGTCTGTCTTAGGAGACGGTGGTCTCAGGGACAGAGGGCATCAGGGAGTCACCTGGCAGTTAAGTCGTGCACAGCAGCTGGAACCCCAGGACCTGCCACGTGGCTGTGCTGTCGATCAGTTAACGAAGTCCTGCAAAGGTGAGGGGTGAAGACAGAAAACAATACAAATTTGTCCTTAGTGTCTCCTCTGACTCAGCAGAATGGCTGGTACTTTGCTACTGGAGTACATTTCTTCATCTCCAGGGCTAGCCTGGTGCGCACTCCCCACCTCTCACCTGGACGATGCTCTATGCGTGTAACCTGTCCCTCTGAGTCATTCTTCATGCTGCAGCCTGAGCTGTCCGTCTCAGACGTGACTCAGAGCATGCCACTCTCCTGCCTCAACCTTTGTTCCCTTTCCCTCCCAAATTCTCTGCCAAAGCACATGGGTCCCGGTGGTCCAGCCCCACCTCCCCCTTTTTGTGAATTTAGTTGCACTTTTTTTCTTTCTTTCAGATCTCGAAACATAGACTAGACCATATGGCGCCTTCTACAATGTAAAAAACCCTGGCCTTTCCTGTGGATGAAGCCTTTTGTGAACTCAAGGCTGCACATGCAGCCCTAAAACAGGGCATGTGACCTGGTGGGTGGCCTTGGGCTGGACTCCAGCCCCCACGGTGCCCCAGGGCCGGAGGCTCTTGTGTCGCTGAGCCATGAGGAGTGGCCCTGCTGGAACGACCTGGTTCCCTGCCACCTCAGGGCCTTTTTACCTGCTGCTGCCTCCCTGGGGACCTCAGCTACCCTAGAGGCATTTGATGAGAATATTAAGATTTCTCATGTTCCAAAATTCTGCACCAATTTTCACCAAAGCCTTTTATCTCTTTATTTCCCACTTTGGCCTTATGTGAATTCTTCACTATTTGCTTGGCAGGGTCAAGCCAGCTAATCTTTTTTTTTTTCCCCAAACTCACATAATGATCACTTGGTGAAGGCAAGCCAAAGGATGTGACATTTATCTAAGCTCTGTAACACCAGCGATCTCAAATCAACAAACCGTTTTCCTGCCTGTTGCTTCTGGAAAGAGATGACGGCAACAGAGTAAGGGTATGTTTCTCATCAGCCACTTCCCACGCTGACCACGGGTCAATGCAGACATCCCCCCACCCTGGCTGGGGATGCAGGGCTCCACCCACCACGATCCCCCCTCAGGGATTCTGATAAACTAGATTTGGGGACAGTGGCTCGAAATCTAGGGCTGTGTTAAAAATGGACACGTCAAATGAGCCTTGGCGCAGTGGGAGTCGGGCAGGAGGAAAATGAAGTCTCACTCACGCGGCAGGCGCTGCTGGTACCCGGCACCACTGTTTCCATTCGCAGGGGACCCTTGGCTTGGTGGTTTCCTTGGGATGGGAGCGGGAGTGTATTCAGTCTGCATTCAGGCTGGCTGGGTGCCAGGGATTTAACATCCCTCATCAGCGACAGACACCTGCTCTCTTGCCCGACGTGGGCTGGCAGAAGCCCCACCTGCAGTAACCTGGGGGAATAACTCCATCTTATTGGCTCCCTCCCCTCTCACCTGCCCAGCCTCCCCAACCCTCACCTGTGCATTAGCCACTGTGTTAGTGTATTTCAGTGCCCCCACGTTCTGAACGGCTGTATCTTACATTGTGCCCACGGTCCCTTGCAGCAGGACCAGGGGGCGGAGACGAGGCACACTCACTGATACTGAACACGCTCTTGTATAAGCGGGACCCATGAGCACCTCCTGAGATCTTCTGTCCTGGGTGGTCTTGCTCGCTCAGCCTGGTCTTGCCCTGCCTTCCAGGGATTCAGAATACACCAGTCAGGCAAAACCACCCATTCCAAGTAGGTGTTTTCTAAACTGCGTTGTCCTTATGTTTCTTCATTGTTTGCTCTGGACAATAACCCGCTACATGGAGAACCCACTGGCACCGAAACGCCACAGGATTAGGATCCCTCTGCAGGGTCTGCGTGCACACAGGCTGCTCCAGGTATTTAAAAGCGCGGCTACTCTAGGACATGGCAAACTGAAGCCTGAAGACAGTCTGTGGTGTCTGCTTGCTTTAGTCTACTGTGGCTGGTGTCTTCCAAGTGGGCTTTAAAATACAAACTCCCGGTTCACAGAGGACGGCCGGGCCTGCCCTGCCCAGCCCAGCCCGGAGTTTATTAGCACAGTTAATATCGCATGCAAATAGATTTCCCCGCTTCGGTCATGCCAGTCCATTAATTCAGCCCCTTGTCTGCTACATCTTTATCCCTGGCAGGTTAATCCTGCCAAATGCCTTCGCTGTAGCACATGTCACGCTGTGCCTATGTCCAACAATGCCACTGTGCTAATCCTGTTGTATCAGCTTTGAGGCCCTGTCTGGTCAATCCAATGGTGGAATCCGTGCACAGAACCTGTTTTTGCCAAGATCTTTCTCCTACAGTGGCACCCACCCCTTCCCTTTTTAAAAAAAATTTTTTTTAAAACATGGTTTCAATTAAATGGTCTGAACGTCAACCACCGTGTTTGGACAGCTGCCAATGCCAATGTCATGCAGACAGGGATGTCAAGGCTTTCAGTGGGCCTCCAAACTCTTTCCAGAAGCCTCATCCAGCCCTCCGCTGAATATGCTAAATGGAAGGGGTTAAAAGATGAAAATCTGCTCAAGACTGCTTTTCCCTGGGGGTTGAAGATGACTGAGTGGGGGGCATGGGTATCACCCGTTATCTTTGGTGCCGACCACTTCAGGGTTTAGTGGAATCACTAACGTGAATTCTTGGAAGAGATACATCCCCTCCTGCAAAACACCTTTGCCAGGTATCCACCTACCAGGGGGAAGAGAAGCATCTCCGGGTCCCACAGTGTGTTTCTCTTCTAGTCCGTGGCCTTGCAGCCAGGCTCGCCCACATTCAAATGCTGGCTGGACCACTTGCTACCTCTGCGACCTCAGGCAAGTCGCCTCCCTCTTCTGTAGACTGGGCATAACCACGGCACCTGCCGTGCGGGTGCAGGCACTCAGCCTGTGCTCATCACTCAGAACGGTGCTGACACACAGAGCAGGCCCTGGGTAAATATAAGCCAACATCAGCACAGCCTGTGAAATGTGCCAGAACTCTGTCCTTTGCAGCTTACTGTGGTACACACACGAAGTGCATGGTCAAATTCCACACGCGCCTGTCTTCTGGGGCCTTTGGATGTAAACTCTACGCTCTTGCCTGCTAGTTGTAGGAATCTGGCCAGGAAGAGCCCTTTCTAGCTTCTCTATCACTGGTCTCTGTCTGCGTTACCCCTTGCAGCTCTGGTGGGGGTGAAAAGGTGCTCTAGGTGGATAAGCACAGGGCCTGGGGTTAGGTGACTCTGAGCCAAGTACTCAACCTTTGAGGTTCTTACAATCCCGATGCTAGAAAGGGCGGGACTTGGTTCTACACTGCGGGGTTATGGCGAGGACTTAGTGAATAAGCATGGAGGTGCGACCTGGCATGCTGCTAAGAGCCCAGTAACTGCCCCATCGGTAACGGCCATTATGGTCATGGAGTCTCCGGCAAGGCGGCACGGCGTCCCTCTCCATCCGCCACCCACCTGCCTCCTGGTCTCCATGGAGATCTTGTGAGAAAGACGTGGGGTCACAGAGCACAGGGTCTGGCTTCCAACAGAAGCTCAGGATCTGAAGCCATGCTCACTGCTGTTAAATCCTAGTTCACTCGGGTTTACTTCCTACCCCAGCGTCCTCAGCATCATAGTCTCTTCTGCACGAGCCGGTGCCATTAGTCTCTGGTCTGAACCCTGCTAAGACTCGTGAGTGGTTTTAAAATGACAGCGTACATGTGTATCTACGGATCTGAAGCTGCCGGTGTTTGCACAGAGCTGAATCTGCATTGTGACACGAGCAATTAGACATTTTCGTGCTAACCTCGAGGGCGGGGAATAGGTTTAATTCCTCACCCTCCGTGTGGGATGTGTCAGGATGGGATTTTGGCTCTGGACATGAGGAGGATTTTGCTCCCGGGAAGAGCCATATTGGATGCTTCCCTTGGCAACCGGGCCACTGAACACCTCCTCCTGCTCCTGGATCCTGCTAGATCGTCTAATAAATAAGTCCTACCATTATTAGCTGAGAACTTACTTTGTCCTCGTCATCAGGCTCATCACTTCACATTCATGACCTCGCTGAATTCCAGTTGAGGTGAGACAGAATTCTTTCACCAGTTTCTCATGCTAAGGAAATGGAGAAATTTAAGTACTCAACTACTTCAAGAAAACAGAGGCTTGGAAATGACAATTAACTTACCCAGATTTGCAGGTAGAAAGTCGCTGCAGTGATCCGGCAATCCCACTCCTGGGCACATATCTGGAGAAAACTCTACTTGGAAAAGAGACAGGCACCCCCGTGTTCACACCAGCAATGTTTACAACAGCAAGATGTGGATGCAACCTAAGTGTCCATCAGCAGGTGAGTGGATAAAGAAGCTGTGGTATATACGCACACTGGAATCCTACTCAGCCATGAAAAGAATGAAATAATGCCATTTGTAGCAACGTGACTGGACCTAGAGATTATCATACTAAGTGAAGAAAGTCAGACAGAGAAAGACAAATACCATATGATATCCCTTATACGTGGAATCTAAAAAAATTGTATGAATGAACTTATTTACAAAACAAACACTCACAGACATGGAAAACAAACTTATGGTTACCAAAGGGGAAAAGGGGAGTAGGGAGGGATAAATTAGGAAGTTGGGATTAGCAGGTACAAACTACTATATATAAAATAGATAAACAACAAGGTTCTACTGTGTAGAACAGGGAACTGTATTCAATATCTTGTGATGGCCTACAGGGAAAAAGAAAAAGAAAAAGAATGTATATATATATGATTGAATCACCATGCTGTACACCAAAAACTAACACAATGTTGCAAATCAACTATACCCCAATTAAAAAAAAAAAGTGGCTGCAAAGCTGGGGTTTGAGCCCAGAGCTGCTGGCTCTCTGGCCACAAGGCTACAAATACATTTTTGGTGTGATGCTGTTTCTTCTGCTGAGCATCTGAGTCAAGGGCGGGCTTCCCAAATTACCAACTCCCGTCAGCATTTATTTGTCCCAAGTTATAGCCATGCCAAATGCATTATTTTCCCTTTCCTTTCATTTTTTGATTAATTCTGCACTTGGGTTTTTCTTGTGGGGGGTTGCTGAGGGGAAATATGGCAACAAAACAAAACAAAACAAAACAAACAACCCCCAAGACTCCTTTTTTGCAAAAATTAGGAAATCCCAGCCTCTAGCATTTCTCCAGTGATTAGAAAAATCCCCACGTATCCCAAGTTTACCACATAGACCGTAATCCGGTTTTCAACTGCCAAGCTCTTGCCTAGAATGGGTTTGCAATACTTCATGCTAATTAAAACATGATGGAATCCGGCTATTTGCAAAAAACAAGCAGCTCTGACCCTCTGGCTTCCGTGGCTCCGGCAAATCCACCGAGACCCACCTGTGTGTTGCCTTGGCGAGCATTCCTGCTGAGAGCGCTGCCTGCCCATCGAGCTGGGGTCTTGAGAGAGCCCTGCTTACCTAGCGGAATGCAAACATCTCTGAACTTTGCTTACTGGATAAAAGGCAGCCTGAGCTTCCCACTGCTTTTCCTGCGGTGGGATCAATCATACATCCTGCCTGCATCGGGCCCCTGCTCATGAGTAATCTCTCAGAGGCAAAGCTCCTCCTTGGGGTGGACGGCGGTACTGAGTGCAGTCTTCTAGGGGGCGGAGGTGGGAGGAAAAGAAAGGCTGGGAGCAGAATAATGAGCACCCGCTGTCTGCTCCGTGCCCTGCGCTCCAGGAAGCTTTTTTTTTTTTTTTTTTTTGTGGTTGATTCACTGTCAGAAAATTTGCTTTTGCAGTGAATACTACTTAGCATCATGGAGGGAGTTCATGATTTCTTCTCTACTGTGTGATTCTGGTGCCTCAGTTTAGGTGTGTGTGTATGTTTTCTATTCCTTTTTAGCCAAATCAAAGTTGGCTAGTTTCTGCCTCTTTGGTGGTTCTAGGGATGTGCTCAGCACTCACATCCCGTCAGAGGGACACAAAGGACTGGGGTTTCTCTACTCAAAAGGATTGCACTGTGACAGTTTGACACAATTGAAAGAGACCTGTTATTGACGTGGCTCCCAGGACTCTGCTTCACTCATTCTTCACTGAATGTGAAGATGCTTGAGGGTTGTTGAGTTTTCCCTGTTCTTTCATGGCGGTCATCTCAGTTCCTAGGTCCGTGGAGGGGGACGACAGCAGGGAGGTGACAGTCCCACAGGCATTCATCAGAGGCAGCTGAGACTTGAGCCCCTGAGAGCTTCCAAAAGGGTTGTCAGCAACCTGCCCTTCTTGAATAATGCTGTTTTGTTACTATTTTAGGAACCAAGCAAAATGCAGGAATCAACCTCTAAAGCACCCCAGACCGCAGAAGCCTCTATCGATCTAAAAAACCACCTAAGCAGTGACTTGCTGAGAGATCCGGTAAAAAGCAAGTTTCCTTGCTACCCTGGATGTCACGTGTGAGACACACGTAGTCTCTTGTGGGGACGTGCTCGTTGTACCACATCTGCATTTATGTCTGAAAAGGGATTTCTTTGGGGAAGGCACCTCCCCTCCCCTGTGAGCCCCGGAAGACAGACTGACAACAGGAGGCTTAAGCCATTTTAACAATGGGAGGATTATTTCCTAACCTGGTGTGTGACAGACGCCTATTAATAAATGAACAAGATAGACCTGTCTCCATGCGTCCCCAAAGACAAAGCCCCCTCACCCACGGACCGGAGCTGCGGCGTCCATGGGGTTACTGCCCTCTCCCCTCCTGCCGCCCGCCCCGGCCCAGGGCAGAGTCCTTCTGGGCACATCTGAGACCCCTGGGGGCCCAGACAGGGGTGGCCACGGAGGGGACCCGGGGCTCCAGCACCTGGGTCAGGGGAGCCGCTCCCCGTCCCCCTGGCCGTGCCTTCCTGCTTTGTTCTTGGCATTTCCATCGGCAGAGGACAAAACGCTTTCTTGTCAGACAAAATGTACACTGGGGAAACTTGACAGCGGTCTTTCTCAGGGAAGAAAAGGTGGTGGTGTTTGAAATCTCTGATTGGCAGCGAGACCTCAGAGGCCTGACTGGGCAGCTCTGGCTCTCAGCAGACCTACTTTTTCTGATTTGAGAGGCCCGTTGCCTCCCGCACTTCCTGGCCGCGGAGCCCTGGGGAAGTTCCCCTGCAAGGTTCTAAGGCCGATGCATTCTCCTCTCCCCAGGATTTCTCCTAAGAAACGGTCCTTAAAAAAAATGCAGCAACTAATATAATCCGGAGGAAGGAACCCTTTGAATGCAACGTGGTTTAATGCCGTGGCACAGGGAGGGTCTCCTTCTGAGTAGAATCCGTTACCTCTAAGACACCACAAAATACTCGGGGAAAGGTAACGAGGAAGAGGCTGCTGGGGATGGAGGAGTCACACACAGCCCTGCACACCCGCCAGGAGCCACTGCAGCCTCACGTTCGCCATCTGTTAGGCGATCACCGGCCCTCTTTCAGGGAGATCACTAGCAAAACTGAGGGACAAATCAGGAGTCCCAAATTTTCTATGGTTATTAAGCAGTTTCTGGGGGCTGGGAGCAGTCACCTCTTGGAGGGGCCACTCCCCAGACCCTAGACCTAGGCTCACTGCTGCCATGATTCTTACAGAACGTCATTATTGAAGCAGCTCAGGATCCACCTCTGTTAGCCCCTAAAGGAGACCCAGGTCAGCCGGAGCTACTGAATTCCTCTAGAACTCTGGCCCCACGTACCACACCTCAAAGACGCCTCTGAGTCCTGGGGACAGGGACAGCTTTCCTGCAAATGGAGGGGTCTGCATGCCTGGGGAAGGGGTTATATTAGAAGAGCAGGAAGTGGCATGGACCAAGGCAGAGGGTGGAATTCGGAGGGGTCCAAGCAGCTTCCTTGGAAACAATCTTGAAAAAAAAACTCCTCTGTAATTATTTACTGATAAAATCGAACGAGGAGTATTTAGACAAATATTCCTGAGACTTTGCTCAAAGTCAAGCATGTCTGAAACCCTAGGTATCTTAACTTAAGCATTTAAAGACAGCATGGTGAGAAGCGGTCCAGGACAGAAAAGATCCAGGATGCCTTTGTCCATGAGGAGGTGGATGCCGGGGGAGGGGGGAGGTCCTTACGGATGTAAAGACACAGCCCCACCCTCTGAGCTGACACCCCATCTGACAGCGCTACAATCAGCAGCCTTGTAACGCTGCCCACAGGCTCCGGCTCACTCTGCCTCAGTTTCCTTATTGCTAAAATGGAAACAGCAACACCCTGGAACAAAATCAGACAGCACCTGCCTTGCGCACGGCCACGGCTACAGCCAACTCAGAACCCCGGTCACAAGGCCCAGGAAAAAGCCCAACTGACCTGGCGGCGCTGCGGGGCCTCTCCATCCTTATTCTGGACACCAAACAAGATGCCCAGCCTCCTTCGTCCTGCAAGAGATTTCCAGAAAATGGTCACCCTCATAGTCACTCCAGTTTCCGACTCTGCAAAGGCAACCCTGGGGGGCTCAGCTGAATTTCACGGGGACTCTTCGGGCCTGAAGAAGGTCCACCTTTATCACTGACCTGCTGTCTTAACTCTGGGCTGAACAGCTGCGGGTGGGGGTGAGTGGGCACGATAGGTGGGGAAGTCTGCCAGCCAAGACCTCACTGCCAGATTCTCTTCTGCACATGCGTACCTTGTAAGACAAAGTGACAGGGCACAGCTAGCATTATCACAGCACCCTTTAGTGCCTCTTGGTTCTTGTTTGATACAGTGCTTTTATGGGTCTTTTAAGCACAGGTGGCAAGGGGATGAAGGCTTTCCTGTTTTAGGGCTGGGGCACTCCTCCACCCCACCTCCCCGCACCCCTCTTCCACATCGTTAGAAAAAAACAGGCAGCATGCTGATGCAATGGTCTCTAGACAAAGTACCTAGCTCGCAACCTAGCTGATGCTATTCCTTTGTCCTCTCACTCCCAGAGCCAACAGCTGCGGACCTGGGGGGCTCTGGAGAAGTGAGGGGTGGGCTCTCAAAGGAAGCTCAAGAGAAATAGGGGAAATGAAAAGCCCACTGGCAAAGCTTGTCTTCTCACGTGAAGATATGCCCCACCTCCATTTCCCTTGTCCTCAACAGGTACTAAAAGGGGAGGCAGGGGATAGGGCACGGTTTTGTGCCCATTTTGAAGATGGGGAAAGGTGAGGTGATGGGGCCTAAAGCAGACTTTTCTGGGGGCAGCCTGTGAACTGGGATGAAAATCACGGTTGGGAGGGGTCAGACATAGTTTGTCAATATCCCTGATTTTCCTTTGAAGCAAATTTTGTTTCCTAGTTAACGCTTTTTAGTTTCTTTACTCCTAGAATGGGTTCAGACTAGTAAAGTACAGAGAAGTGAAGAACCAGGCAGTGCGCCCAGTCCCCAACATTCATTTAGACAGTCCGAGGGAGGTTCAGGGTACCTGGAAGGACTTGGAGAGAAGGTTTATCACAGGGACACCCAGAACGCTGACAGACGTTTCTAAACATCAGTTTGAAGCCCCTGTTAACAGGACCATGGGTAGCTCTGGAAATATGAGATCATGCATGACCCTGCGTCTTGAAGGGGAACCCTGCAGTCAGAAGGCAACAACTGCTGTCACTTACCCCATATAACCCTGGCCACTGACTCATCTACCCCAAGTTTCAGTTGTAGGACATAGAACAGGAAACCAGGTTATTATAACTGAACAAGACACTGTGTCTAAGCAAGGCTTGGCCATAAGCAAAATGCTCCCCCTACCGTCTGCCAAGCATATTTAACTATAAGACCCTGCCCACCTTTTGTGGCTGGTTCTGAGTGTCAGACCACCTAGTATTCATCAAGTGGAGAGCAGTGTGGCTGGAAGCCCAGATGGGGGTGGAGGACTCCCACAGAGACACCCTGGAGACCTGGGGTGGAAGTGTAAAGGCCAGTGGGACCAGCTTTCAGTGATTACCTGACAGCTTCCTCGTCTGTAAAATGGGGACAGTAACAACACTTACCCCCCTTGGCCACTAGGGGGAACAAGAGAGACAAGATTATTAAAAGGCTTATTCCTTGGGCTTAATAAACATGGCAGCCATCATCATGAACACCGCTGGCCGCTCACCAGTTGTGCCCCTAACATCACGGAAATAAGCCCAAATTTAAGCGCCGTGGGGAGCTCCTACAGCCATGTCTGCTTTGGGGAGCCCTGGAGGAGCTTGGAATATTCCTTCTAAATAATATCCCCGTGGTTCGGAGTTCATTATGCCAGAGATGACATGCCGTAGACCCCATTACGTTGTGGGGAGTGGTTTTCTCCAATATCAAAGGTAAGGAAGAAAAAGAAAAAAGGATCAAAGTGAGACATCTATTTGATTTACAGTCAAGACAGGCTACACAGTATAGAGATATTTATAGTAAAAGCAAAGCAAAGTAATGAAGAAAGGAAACATTATACAAACAACATTGGTTGGAGCGCTGGAGAGCAACACTGAGAAAAATTTTGATGCCCATTAGGTAATGGTGCCACCTTGTCTCTGTGCCAAGCAGGACCCTATGGGGTCTTCCCAGGACAGACCCCTCCCCCATATCCTCTGCTTCAGTTCCTCTCAGAAATACCCAGATAATAGTGTCCGATACACATTTTCTGAGTTCTTTTGTAGATGCTGAACCACTCCTGCCCACCTAAATGGAAGAAATTAACACATTCCCTCCAGACTCTGACTGGAACCAGGAAGTACTTGCAACAACTTACCATCATTTTCCTCTGCCTCACCGTCCACCAGGGAATTGCACATAAGCTAATCACATACCTTGGGACTCCCCTCCCTCGCCTTTAAACATGCTTTGCTGAAAACCAAGGGAGGAGTTCGGGCTTTTTGAGCATTAGCTGTTCCGGACTCCTTGCACTTTCCTTCACCACAACTCACTGTCAGCAGATGGGCGTTACTGCTCATGGACTGGTGGACCCAGGCTCTGGTTCGGTACCATCCCTGTCCTTGTCTTCCGTCATGCAGTGACCCCATCCTCCCTGCCGAAATCGGAGAGCCCATCGTAATGGTTGCCTCCCCCTGGCGTGCCCAGCCTACCGAGTTCAGCCACCACAAAGTTCTTCGGAGTAGCCGGTGCCCCCTGACATATTTCTCAGGTCCTTAGCAGGGAGCGTCCTCTGAGCCTGCTCTGGGGACAAGGTGAAGAAGTGGGTGGCAAGGCACACATGATAAATCTACTCCAACATGCCAGCCAGCCTCGCTAGGCTTTTGACACCTTCCTTCTCCCTGATGCCAGGGAAATTCTAGAACCTCGCTAAATGTAGAACCACTGAGTCCAACTTTTAGCCAATCAAGCAATCTCTTAGAACCACTTTCAACTGCTCGAGTATGCATTCAGAATCTATTTCATCCTCCTTAGCCTCATTTCCTTAGAATCTATTCCTGCTTGTATTCCTCAGGTTTTCCTCTGTATAGATTAGCAAAATCTTGTAGAGTGTGTGTGTGTGTGTGTGTGTGTGTGTGTGTGTGTGTGTGTGTGTGTGTGTGTGTGTGTGTGTGTGTGTGTGTGTGTGTGTGTGTGTGTGTGTCGGGGGTCTAGGCTGAGGCAGGGCTCCTGGGCCCCAAATCCTTCTGTTCTCCTACTTACCCTGTGTTTCCACCCATGGAGACAGTTCTTTGGGAAGCAAGATTTGCTGACAGAGATGCTCAGCTCTATTTTGGTGTTTCGCCAGAGATTTTACTTTGATTTTGAAATTGACAAATCCCTCTGATCGGGGAAAAAGTCCCAGAAAACCGAGCCTTAGGAAACGCCCAGCAGCTCTCTGATCCGACAGGGCTGCTTTTCAGAAGTGCCTCTCAAATCATCTTTGCAGGCGGGGGCTCAGTATTCACCTCCCCAGCACTGTCAACTCCCACCCTTGGCACTCCCTCCAAATGCCAGAAGATCTTGAATTACCAAAGACAGACTGGGAGCTCAGGTCTGCTGCGGAGGAGAGAGATGTCTGGACCAGCTGGGAGCTTCTGGAATGCCTTTGTTGAAGGAACCACCATTCACTAAGCTGGACTGTGCCAGGGGGCCCAGGTGCCCCAGGTTTTCTGTCTAAGCGTCACAGCAACCCAGGGATGGAGGAATCACTGCCCTTCTCTCATGAGTGAGGAAATGCAGGCTTGGCCTCACCTGGGTGCTTCCTGACATTCATCCCAATGGTAGTGATGCCAAGACAGGGAGGTTGGTTCTGCCGTCCCCAAAGGATGACACAACAAAGCTGAGTGGTGGAGGGGCAATGAGGTGAGGGGGAAGGGAGGGTGGGCTTCTGGGCCAGTCACTGGGGATATGACCTGTGCTCTGGCCACGGTCCTCCAGCCCCCAGACACTGCCCTAAGTGTCACCCTTCCTCTTCTTGCAGACGGACAGGCTGCCTGCTTTCTACTGCTTGTCCAAATTCCCTGGATGCCGAAGCCATTCCATTTTAGTCCTCCTTTAGAGGCACCTCCTTAAACATCAGTTTTGAAAAGCTTAGAATTGGCAGCAAAATGGACCCTTCAGATTCTCTAAGAATTTAAACACTCACGCTGCTTCTGAAATGGACATGAGAAAGCGCACAATTTCTACACGCAAAGCAATCCTCTGTGGAAAAGGGCTCAGCTCTCGGCCACTGTGTGTGACGCTTTGAGACTGACTATTGACCAAAGGGAAACGAAGTTAAAAATCTTCGAACAACTCAACACCAGTGCACAAATGTAATGAGAACTGCTGCTTTCCCCAGTCATCTTTTAGCAAGTAAGTTCAATTCTGAATCACTTGGAAGTAGTTCCAACTAGCTGGAAAATTTCTCAAAGATAAGGCTTTGCTGAGATAGCTGGGGCTTCTGGTCTGAAAGACCCAGAAGCTTGGTTCTTCGTCCTGTGGGGTCTTGGGAAAGCCACGAGACCTCAGTCTATTCATCATAAAATGGGGACAGTAACGCCCTCAGTGTGCTGTTGCAGGGATCAAACCAGATAATGCTGCTAACAGTGAGAAGAACAGCTGAGCCCAACATACCTCAGTTTTCATTCTCTTTGCCCTTGGGACGCTCACTCTGGTCAAAGGTGGAGAATTTTCACACCTGTCCCAAGCGTCCCTGCAAGAGTTTCTTTCTGATTCAGCGTCTAAAAAAATTGAACTGGATGCTAAAAAATTTGGTAACCAGTGATTCAAAAAACAAGCAAAAGACATTAAGTACTGAAGACGAGTTAATAGCCTGGTCCCTGGTCCCTTGAAGGGAAAACGGATTTAATCTAGTAGACTTTGAACATGGAAGCTTCCTTTGCAATGACTGCTGGACACAAGTGTTAACTGTTACCTACACAACCGTAAAATTAGTCAGCAACTTCCAGTTAAAGCTCCCATTCCAAACAATAAGAGAATAAGCGGAAACCAAATCCTTCCAATCAAGCTGAGGAACGGGATGAGACGAATAAGAACACTGCACATGCCAGTCATGAGGAAGGTGAGGGTTTAAATCCTTGGGGACGGAATTCTGCAGGGGCTTCGGTCTTTATCCTGCTCTTCCGATACACCCCACGCTGGGAGTTTACGATGCAAAGTTGCAAAGGAAGGGATGTGTGGGCAAATGAGAAATCACAGCTCGGCCTGTGGGTTGGTGGTGTCTGGTTTCTGCTGGGATGGAACCGGGTGGGAAGGGGACAGACTCAAAAAGTACAACTATTGAGATCTGGTGCAAACATCCCAGCCGAACGGCAGCCTGAGACGCAGCAATGCAGCTGCCAGCTTTCCTCCCACGGAAATTGCATCCGCCCGACAATGCAACCAACATGCAAAGAAATCCTCCTCTGAGTGGATGCAGCTCTCGGCCATCATGTCTTCTGCTCTGAGCCTAATTAACGACAAAGGGTCATCTTATCTTTGCATCCTGATTTTGTTTTTGGTTCGCTCTCAATGTGGGTTGTAGCGAACCGAGTCCATTGGAAAGGGATTATGGAACAACCTTCCCCACCCCTCCTCTCTGCACAGAGCCTCCCACCCTTCCCCCACCCTCAAGTCCTTGCTGCTGGGACTAAATCTACAAGCGTGCAAGTGCCATTAACTGACATTCATCAAAACACTCTCCATTGTTCGCAGACAGGAGCGGCCGAGAGGTGGAAATTACTTGGCATTTCATTTTAATCTGTATTGAAGACTTGCCTGACAAAACATATTAAGTGTAAGAATTGCCGGCTTGGGAATGAAGCTATGTTTATGGCTTGCTCCGTATTTCCCTTTCCTAGAGGAAAGGAAATGACACTTCCCCATCCTTCCCCTACCTCCTGCAGCTTACCAGCCCCCCCACCCCACCAGCATCATCCACGAAACCTCAACATTTAATTTTCCTTTGTGAGGGCAGCTTTTGTTAGCAGTGTCTGTAAGATGGTAATACACATTCTGCGCCTCGGCGCCAGCATCTGAGATGAAAAACAACAACAAAACCCCCAACAAACTCTGCATTTAATATGGTGTTATCGGCGGCATCTCCCTCGGGGTGGTACACTGTGGCCACGGAACTGCAGATCACAAGGCTGTGTGCTTCTCTGGAGAGAGACTGTCACCAAAGGCTTCCGACAAAGCATGGATGCCATGCTAATGGATGCGCATAATTACCAAGGGACACGGATTCTCCCTGCTGAATTCTGTCGGGCGCGGAGTGCACCAGGGCACGTACCGTGCTTGGGACTCGAGTTTATCTTCTGTGGATCCTGACATTTTACGCTTTTATCTTTCAGGGTAATTTCGCCTTGCATCGAAAAATAAAAGTAATTAGAGGCTCTCAGAGACAAAAGACTGCTTATTTTTCTTTCTTTCTTCCTTCTTTTTGGTCTGTCTCTTTCTGGATTAGGAAGCTGCTCTTGGGGTAAGGCACCAGGTGAGTGCCCCTCATCTGCTCTGCTGTAACTGGCCAAGTTCAGGCCCGAGGATCCAGGACAGGGAGAAACAGTGGCAGACCTATGGGACCGGGGTGGGGGGGCTATCACAGGTCAGCAAGGGACTGCAGGGACACCTGGGCTTTACCCATTCTCATACTTTCTTTGCTTAGGAACCTTCTGATGGTGCAAACTGGTGCTTGTTCGGGTGGGGGTGGCATAGAGAAATGCTGTCTCTGTTTTGGGGTTTACGGTGATAAAATCTGTGCCCTGGGCCATTCTAGACTTCTGCTTCCTGCTAAACTTTCTACTTCGAAGCTCTGAAGTGCCACAAGCCTCTGAAGGTGGGAAATTTGATCTTCTGGCCTCGCTTGCTTGACCCTGGTGAGGGTTACACGAGCCACAGTCTCTCCAGGGAGGCCGCTGCTGTCCATCACCTTGGCTGGGAATACACAAGATGTGTTTATTTCAGCCCTTCCATTGAACTTTAGCTGTTTCCAGGATCTGGGGAATCAGGCACTGAGAGCAGAGGAAAGACGAGGAGAGAGGTGCTTTGTCTCCTCCAGGTGAGGTGCAGGCACTAAAGGCTGTAGCCAGGGCTCCCCTGGAGAGGGCTCCCCAAACACTTCACACTGGGAGCCCCGAGGGCTTCTGGCTAGGACTCCCCACAAAACCCACAGTTCTCACGACAGGATGAAGACCACAGGAATCTCGAGTTTTGTGTGGGGGCGGGACTAGGGGAACCGACTTCAGAGTGATGGAGAAGCCGCCCACCTGGGTGACAGCTCGTGGGCTGGACCTAGTGGTTCTGTCCCAGCACAGGTATCAGACCATCTTGCTCCTTCACCTCCACATGTGCACCTCAGGTCAAATTTTGATAAAAGCCTACACATTTTTGGAAAGTGTGCGTGCACTTTTCTGTAATACACGCTATAAAGCTGCTAAATTCATAAAATGCAGCTATCTCACACTGACACCCAGAGAAGAATCTGTTTGTCATGAGGGCCAGGAGGCTTGTGACCAGTCAAGCCCTGAACAGATCCAGCTCTTCCTTCCTCTCATGCCCCATCCAGGCTACTTCGATGTGCTCGAGAAATTCACATCCTTGCAGCTCAAAGACATGATCTTTTGAAAAGATGTGAAGAAAATAACACCCTGTTTTAAGCCATCATTTCAGTCTGTTGCCTTTTGATTAGCAAGATAAATACTTCAAGAGAGACTTGCACATGGCCAGGTTTCAGGGGCAGATGTGAATGGAATGGTAATTACTTGCTAAGAGTCATAGAGAATTAATGAAATTAACCACACGGTACAGTCACATCGGGTCTAGAAAGCTTAAGCAAGACAACATCTATTCTAAATTCATCGTACACAGTTCTGATTCTATGTCATATAAAAATTATGTTAAATAAGTAACAGTGCTCCATTAGCTTCCCCTGGAACAAACTGAAAGTCTTTTTCCTCCAGGAAGTAATTTCTCAGATTATCAAATGGAGTCTCTTCCAGTTCCCTGACCCCAAGTTTCACCTGCAGGATGAGGGCATCCAGCCGAGACGTGACTGGGAAAGCCGGGTGAGAGCCCTAACCATTTCCCACTGTCTTTCATGTTAGCCTGTTTGATTTTCATCATGGTCTGTATCTCCACCTGGAACTACGCCTTCCTGGCTTCACTTACATGACTTTCCACTGGCACATAAACTTTGTGAGGGTGGGAACCTGGTCTGACCTGTCTGTCACCTTGGTATCTCTGGCTCCAAGAGCAGTGCCTGGCATGCCCAAGATGCTCCAGGTGAGCCTGCTGAATGAGAAGCAGCAGCAGCACTCCACAGAGCTGCCCATGCTCCCTTCCATCTCTGCAGTCCCCCGGCTTTGCACAGAGCAGGACTGACGAAGCAGTTCAGGACAGTCGCATGGAAGCTGATGACGTTCTGGGAAGAACCTAAGCTCAGAATTACAGCAACGGTGGGAGCTATACATCAGAAGGAGGCATCAAATATCACGGGTAAAAGCCCCAAGACCCACAGCCTCGGGACAAATGCTATGGTTTCGGGTCTGCATGGTTAAGACTGGAAATAACTGCAGAACAAACAGGAAGGGGAGGAGGAGAAGGAGAGAGTTGTAGAAAGCAATGAAGTTGAGCACTAAGCTAAGAGTCACGTTGTGAGGCCAAGAAGAGCTGTGTGATGCCGTGCAGAAGTTAGGACATGCGTGTGCCTGTGCGAAACTGGCCCCCACCAGCGGAAAACCTGAGGCCCTGGAGGACTTCGCCATGACCCTCTCCAGTTCCAAGCACAAGAAATAGTTCTTTTACTATTTCTTCTTCCAGATCCAACCATGTGTCAACAGACCCTCTCGCATGCACGTCACACATTTCCCACAAAAACTTCTCTTAACCTAACCCATCATTCAGAACCTGGGGTTGGCTAGAGAAACCCCATGTCTTGGGTTTTCCTGTGGGTAAGTCTTGCCTTGAAGACAAGCAGGCTATATATTTAATTCGCTGGCTCAGATGTGAACTCCCTTGTAAGTCTTGGACACTGGTTTCTCTGCCTTGCAGTGATGCTGATTCACGACTCCCAACCCTTTCATTCATCAGCCAACCCTTCTTTAGTTAAGCAGCTGAAGTTGGTATCAGTTTAAAAACTTAACTTGCTCATAACTATTAGTAAGAGAAGAACATATACACGGTGGAAATATTTTTCGTCATGGATGTGGTCTTTTCTTTCAGGAGCTTTTATATCTCTAAAACACTTAGAATGGTGGGAAGGAATAAATTTCGGGTTGAAACTGTTGCTTTCCTATTTTGGAATGAGAACCTGGAGACTTTGTCAGAAAACGCCTACTGCGTGCTGAGTGAGGACAGGCTAGAGGGCCGAGGCCGGGGCCCCGACACACCCGAGAGCCCCGCCCGCCCCAGCCGCAGTCGGGGGTGACAGGGCTCTGAGGTCTGCTGACCACCTTCCGCTGGGTGATCCTCTTACAAACTCAGATTATTCAAAAGAATATTGCAATCAGTGATGGAAAAATACGTCTTCATCTAATTATGAGAATACGTCAGGAAAACCCCAAATGAGGGACATTCTCTGTATTCTCAAAAGGTGTCAGTATCATAAAAGACAAGAACAGCTGGGGAACCATTTCAGATGGAAGGTCAAAGACATGACACCCAAACGCAACAAGCATTACTGGACTGGATCCTCGATGCAGGGAAAAAGAAAGTGCTTTAAAGGCTGTTACTGAGACAAATGGCAAAATCTGAATATGGATTGTGGAACTGCATCAATGCGATCAATACAACACTAATACAGCTGCATCAATACAATAACAGTGTCTCAGTGTTAAATCTCCTGAATTGAATAATTGCATTTGATTATGTTTTCAGGAAATACAAGCTGAAATATTTAAAGATAAGCTAACTCTCAAATGGCTTAGGAAAAAATGTATGTGTATATATAAGTGTGTGTGTGTGTGTGTATGTGAGAGTGAGAGACAGACAGACAGAGAAGTGATAAAGCAATGACTAATCTGGGTCCAGAGTATAGAGAATTCATTGTACAATTCTTACAGCTCTTCTTTAAGTTCTAAATTGTGTAATTTGGAGGGAATAATTTTTCATTTTCTTTTACCCTTTCTAATTTGAAATATGTCATCTGTAAACACAAGGCAACTGTGAGGTGTTTTTTTCACAATTTTTTTTTCAAGGAGGCAGACAAAAGTAATACTTGAAGGAACTGACGTCACATTCATTGCACATCAATTTCTTTATCGTGGTATTTCTTTAAAATCCAATATTCTCTGACCCTGGTCATTACTTCACGTACTACACCATCTTAAACTGTTTCTTAATTTTCTGTCTTGTTGAAAAGCTGCTTTGGGAGGAAATATGATATTTTAATTTTATATGGAAATAGACAAAACAGATGGTTTATCCTTTTCTTCCAACAGTAGCATGAGGCTTCACTCACACAGTACCCTTTGGCTTTGTAATCAGGTTGGAAAAATAAATTCCTAGTAATCACTCAACGCTTCTTCCTGCTCCTGCCCCTACTTGGCAACTCTGGGGGCTAGTGTGGCTGGAGGCCCTTGGGAAGCCTGCCTGCCTCTCAGATAAGCGAGGTCAACACAAATGTTGCCTCTCTGACACTGAAACATCCTTTCTTCCATTCAAATGACAGATGATCAAGAGGATACAAGCAAGAATATTTTGCTTGGCACATGGCCTAAAAGTTCTAAATTTATGTATTCTATTTTTGCTTCTTTCTCAGATTGGATTAGTTACTAGGCAACTGAAGTATTTAATTTCATTTGCTAATAGTTACATTTTAATAGAGACAGCTAGTGTACATGACCGATGCTGCCAAGACAAGCCCCGGCAGCAGCCTCTGCTGGGCGGTAAAGCGCGCCCTTCGCTGGGTTGCAGACAAACACCGCTCACAGGCTTGCCTTGTGTTTCTCCGACTTCCACATACAGGAAAAGGGTGTCTCTTTTGGAATTACTTACAGAGAGAATATTTGCAGTGATGTGTTTTCCTCACTCAAACAGCTACCTGTTTGTGGCATCCCAAACCCTCTTTTCGATTTCTGGTTCAAGATGGCACAGAGGTTTTCTTTTCCTCATCCAGAAGGAAAATAAATCCTTAACAGCATAGGAAGGGCACCATCAGTGCCCCAGATATGCTATTGGCGGGGCAGGTAGATAGAAAAACTAGAATGGTGACAACTGATACCCCAAACAAGCCCAGCACAGCAGTGGGTTTGGCAGAGAGAAGAGAGTCTTCTCAATGGTGCTGAAAACCCCCCAATTTGGAGAGAGGGCAGACCGTGGGAGGCACTTATAAGGGAAATGAGTTATAAGACAGTCTTTAAATATCCCGGACCAACCTTTCCTGCCCCTTCCCACAGTGTGTAGGAGGCTAGATGTAGTGTGCTATGTAAGTAGCTCTTAAAGTAAAAGGCTGGGGGCTGGATGGGAGAGGGACGGTCCTCCCCGATGTAGTCTGGAACATCAGGTGGAGAGCACAAGGTCCCTCCACGGACAGAGTCAAGGGTGAGGGGAGCAAAAGAGAAACACCATGCAGCACAGACCTCAGCCATGGGGAACTGCATCCCCTCAAGGCAAAGCTTCCCTGTGGGACCCCCGCTGAGGGTCCCTAGCTTGCCTGGCTGTTCTCTTCCCAGGTGCTCTGGAGGGAAATCTGCTGTCATGCTCCCCACGAATTGCCATGTGGTTCTTAACCATCCCTCCCATTCAGAGGAGGGACCTGCAGTGGGAACCAAGCGTATGACTGCTGAGGACACGCAGGACGGTCACCAACACCCAGCCACACACTTCTGCGTTTTAACTCGTGAATGGACCCACGAGGATTAAGAGACACTTGAGGAAATACTTTGCACAACAGAGACAGATGAAAACCAACCGGAACTAGACTCCAATGCAGAGAAGAGAACACACACACGCACACGCACACACACACACAATCGATATCTTCAGAGATACTGCATTAAGAAAACAAGAGGAGGCTGCTGTGGAAACGGAACAATTAGAGAGCTAGAAAGAGTCCATGGAAGCTAAACACATGTAAAAATTCACTCAAGATTTTTCCTGGGAAGAGTAGGGTATCAATTCTGATTAAAATGGTCTTTTCCTATCAATGATGAGAATTACATGCTCTGCTTTAAACAACCAAAGAAGAGGATGGAGAAATTCCAAAGCCCCCAAGGAAAAAAAAAAAAGAAAAAGAAAACATTATGAGAACAGCCATAAAGAAAAGGGGGGCGTGTTCAAGAGAAAATGAAAATAAATGACAGGGATATGTTCAAACACGTCAATATTTATAATAAATAAAAATAATATAGCACTCATTAAAAGACAGACTTTCCGATGGGAATATTTAGAACTGAGCTGTATGTTATTTACAAAAGACTTAAAATGGCACAAAATAGAACGATTAGAGATAAACCTAATACATGTTATCAAAAAGAAAGCAAAAACGCAGTATTAATATTAGACAAAAATAGAATTCAAGGTCAAAAGCAAAGGACTATTTTATATGGATTAAAGATACAAAGTAACAGTCACAAGGCCTTTTCATTGAATGCCACAGCATGGAGTTATGTAACAAGTGGTAGAAATGCAAGCAGGAACTATGAAATCCAGGATCATAGTGGGAAACTTTAGCACAGCTTTCTTAGAAATTGACAGATCAAGTAGACCAAAAAAAAAGGTAAGGATATAGATGATTTGATGGATAACATATTTAAACTCAGTTCCCAGCCAGAAAACATGTGTTTCAATTTCCATGGAACACTTAAAAAATATCTAGTCACATATCTGGCCACAAATAAAATCTCAATAAAACCCTCAAAAGAGAAATACTACAGGCCTCTTGGAACTCTAACCCAAGAATTGATTTATAAAAGAAAATCAAAGGAAACTGGAGACCACTCAGCTCAGAATCTACAGGATGCATCAAAGAGGGGCTCCACCTTTAACATGCGTTGGGAAAACACGTAAGATGAAACATGTGCAGAACAATCAGCTCAAAAATTGAGCTAATTAACAAAGTAGAAGAAAGGCAGTCAACAGAGAGAATAACAGGCACTGCTGGTTTCATCATTAAAACCAAAAGAAGTTTAAACGCCCACAAAAGAGACCAGCTGAGAAA